AAAGGGGAAATTGTTGCTGGTGGAAATGGTGAAGGAAATCAATCAAACCAATTGAATTATCCCCAAGGTTTATCATTTGATAATGAAGGAAATCTTTATGTTGCTGATTGTATAAATCATCGAATCCAAAAATATGAAACAATTTCAAATTAAAGATACTTTTAATTTAATCTAATAAAATTTCGATTCTTATTCTTGAAAATAAATAACATAATTCGAATAGAATTGTTTTTGATTGAATTAAATTAAAATAATTTCAAAGAAGATTAGATTAGGAAAAAGTTTTACATTTATAGAAATATCGAATAAAATATTTTTCAAATTGAGAAAAATATTCAAAATTAAAAAAAACTTCTAAGTACAAGTTTTATTAGATTTATTTTTGTGATTTTATGATTTACTGAGAGAAAGGGAAGAAAGTAGAAAAAAGATAAATGAATAAGAATGAAATCTGTCAAAATGGGAAAATTAAATTAAGAAAATCTTTTTTTTCACTTTTACAATTAATTATTTTATCTTATTCTCAAAAGTGAGAACATTTCAACTCAACTTCTTTAATATCATCAGTTTAGTGTTCAACAAGCAAACGAATACATATCACATGAATTAATTATTTTGTTTTATTGACTCAACTTCTGTTCTTTGTTCAATAATTGTCAGCTCATTGAAAAACAACACATATTCATCTTAGAATTTTGAAGATGAACAAATTAGCAATATAAAAAACAACGTGAACCAATTCATTGACAGATTTGAATTATTCTTCGTATTATCAAGACATTCGAACTTGACATTATCGTTGATAATTCATTTTAGGACCTAAAGGGTGTCGGTGTGGATGCGATCTCTAACTAATATTCACACCCATAGCCTCAACTAGTGTCATAAACAGTATCAATTCTTTTCAAGACATTGGAAATAATTTAACAATTTGAAAACGGTGTAAAGAGAATTATCTTAACAATGATATAACCCAGTTATTTACATTCTTAAAATTGATTTTGATTTGAATAATGATTAAAAATTAAAGGTAAATCTTGTCGTTTTTTAAATGAAGTAGCCAGATGCTTATATATCTTTAACAAAGTAGTCTTCTACTATGACGATGTAATGTTGGTCAACCATAAATAAATTCTAGTCTTAACTGTCAGAAAAGTAAGTTCTGATAGAATTTCTCATTTTCTTTTTCATCGTTAATTAAAAATTAGAAAATCAAAAACAAAAACTTAATTTACTACTATTCTATGTCAGTTTGGAACATTAAATCTAAACAATAATAATTCTTTTACTGATCTTGTTAGATGCAATCTAAAAGAGAGTATCAAAGTGTTAGAGTAGATATTTTGGATCCAATTCTATTATAATATCTGTATTATACTGTAAGCAATAATCGACGGATTCAAACATTGATTAATTCGAAATGAAAAGTAAATGATATAATTCATAAAATTTGTCAAATAAAAATTCGAAGATTCGAATAATGATAATGGGTTGTAATTATTTTCAGTATTTATAAAAGTTTTCTTTCACTCTATTTATCTAAATAGATATGTCATGGTTCATCTGCATTGACACAATCTCTAAGAATTTGTTGTAGTTTTGATATTCAATTTAATCGAGCAATGAGAAGAACATTAGTAATATCGAATATATTTTACTGATTTCAATGTTGAACGAAATAAATCGATATTGAACTTTTCAAATTGAGGACGGATGAGGATAAAGGAGTGTAAATAAATAACGGGTACATACATCCGCAAGATATAGATCTATTATCAAAACAAAAAAGAAATAATCGTTTTTTCATTTGGAATAACTTTTATTTTACAAGAAAAACAATAAACATTTAGCATACATAGAAATATTACTGTCATTATTTAATCCATATTCGAAGATGATTAACACAAAATGGATGTCTACTTATTGCACAAGTTGATGGTAAATGGGTGACCAACCATTGAATATCTTCATCTTTGCATAGGATAATTTCATCATCCACGTTATTACGTATTCTTGAAGGCCTAGATTCAAAGATTATTTCATCCGTAAAACGAGCACATAATGTAGAAAGATTGGGCATGTTCTTCACAAGAATAGTAATACTTTCACGATTCTTCACTAGAATGTCAAGCTGCTTAATCTGACTAGTCAATGAAGAATGAGTTAATATAATACAATCTTCTTCATTGAAATAATGTTTACAGTACTCTAAATCCAAATAATGAATTGATGATGGAAATGTACAATCAAATAATGACATTGGCAAAGGTAATGATGCATCTTGATGAATAGTCAATAAACGAAGATGAGGCATTCGATTGAGTAAAGCTTGCAATTCAGATTGTGAAAGATCAGTAGACAAATGTAATGAAAGCGATGAGACTTGCTGTAAATTTGAAACCATCGACCAGTATTGATCATTGATAGGACATTTTACTGAAAGAGAATTAAGTTTTGGAAAACAAATCTTCGATGAAATTGGTCGATCGAAAAGTGTCTCATCCGAGATACTACTCATAGGAGTATAAAGTCTTTCAATATTGTCTTGTGAATCTGTTGATTTGAACACACTAGGAAGCGTGTCAGCAGCATAACGAAATGCCTTCGAGACAGCTTCAAAACGAATATAGTATCTATCACCTATACATCGAACAAACCATTGATGTTCATCAATCCAAAATGAACTTCGAAATGAATTCATCAATTCATCAATTTCTGCCTTTGTCATCAATCGAATAAAATGTAAATCTGTCATTGAAAAGTGAAATGTTTTCAGTTTTGGTAAATAGTTACGTATGAGATCTTCCCATTGATAACCATCAATGAAATTGGGACCTGCTATTCTAATGTTCAGATGATGTAAATTTCGTGTATCTTGCAAAAATGGGATGATTTTTGATGAGTGACTTCCAGCAATAAAAATGTTTAAACTAGTCAATGTTGAAAAAGATGATCCTATGTAACCGTCACCATTTTTCGAACAATCAATATGTGCGCGAAGATATTTGAGATTAGGTGTATGTTGAAACAATCGATTGATTAAATTCCAATTTAATTTCTCGGTATTGATAGATAAATATTTGAGTGATGGCGAGATCTTTGACGGTATAATAAACAATTGTTCTCTTTCCTTATGAATATAGAGATAAAAATGAATTAAATTTGGCAAGTTCCAAATATTATTCATCAACAGTTCGAAATCCGTTTCATCATAGTCTGGAATGGAACAAGTATTGAACTTTAAATGCGTAAGTTGAACAAGATAAGGCAATTCAATGGCGACATTAAGTAGAATGTCTTTTGAACGAAGGTAAGTAAATGAAAGCGAACGTAAATGAGTGAATTGTCTCAACGATGGTATATAAGAAAAAAATAGACTAATTTGTCCTGGAGTCGATTCAGAGTCAGAAAGATGAAGAGCAAGAATGTGATCAGCAATTAATGGAATGTATTGTTGACATATTAAATCAAAACTACGTTTGGATAGTACGGAGAAATCGAAGTAATAACGTCGATATTGTTTGTAGAGAAGAGCATTGATACGAGCATTGAGACCATCAAATGCATGAAGAAGATCATCACCATCCAGATAATCGAAGAAAGTAAGTAAGATTTCGTTAGGTAATAAGTTAAAATTCATTGCTTTCTCTTCAATGCATATGATTCACATGTATAAATAAGATATAGTTTAACAATGTCAGGCAGGTCAAACGATACGATAGTATAACCAGTCTACAATGGCCGTCTTTTTTATCTGTCATGACTGATTTTATTGGTAAGATATATCCGATACTGCATCTGACTAGTCCAGGCTATCAATGATTTGGCTCTGAACTATTGGCAAACATTCAGGATATGAGTTTATGGTATTCATCCTACCTACACACTCATTCATTATGTGTTCAATCCATATAAACAACGAATAAAAACAATTAAACAACGCTGAGAAAATCTCTATGTTATAAAGGCTATATAACTATTTATAAAACAGATCTTGTTAGTATTCACTACGAACTAAGTCATTTTCATATAATTCAATAGGACTTATGTGAAGAGTAGTTCCATGAAAGATACACGATTTGTGATACAATTAAGAGTTTCGTATAGATATTCATTTTATTCAATTCACAGTTGTATATTTAGTTCTGATTACCTCAAAATCGTGTTTTCACGACGTTTCCTGTAAACGAACTAAATCTCCTGTTTGGAATCGAAAAACGAAAGGATATCAATTCCATGTTGATACTTTTTATTTTGATAATTAAACGAGATGCATGCACATTTTACTTCACCGCTTCAAATAAGCAATTGTTATGACTTTATCAAACAACAACATTTGGAAAGATCAACATTAAATCGTTTAATTTACTGGTATATATTTAATGTTTCTTGATATTTAATATAAATATTGACTTTCTTTTATTTAGAAGAATTTATCATTGTTGCGCTTTGATATTGATTCAAACATGTTTTATATGGTTTGCATTTATTTTCTATAGAAAGTTGAAAATACATATTTAATCTAATGTCAGGTACACCAATAAGTCTGCTGTGATATTGATTTTATCGACAGCTAACGGCAACTATTAATAGCCACCTTACATTAAATGTATAGAAAGAACTTAATATAAATATGATATAAATGACATCAATGAACGTCAAGTTGCAAATAATATAATTATTAAAGTTAAATATTATATAAAAAAAATATTGTTAATTTTCTCACTAGTGGAAAACCAACCAATACCTATGCATAAGTCATATAAATTTTTTTCTACACAATAGTATCTATTTATAATTATTTCAAATGGGTTATTCATTATGGCTTCTTCCACCTACAAGCTCAACAATTGCTACATCTCTAATGTCTATAATAAAATCTTTTGGGTGTTCATTTGCCCCACATGTTACAATTGTTTCAAAAATTCCACTTACAACATCAATTGAAGATATTAAATCATCACTTAATACTTATTTTAGTAACCATTCTTTACCTGATGTTCATATTAAAGCTTTGGAAACAGGATCAGAATTTTTTAAACGCATATTTGTACGATGTGAAAAAACTGATTCTCTTGTTTCACTTGCTCGTTTTTCAAAACAAACATTTATTAATAATGATGAAGATATAAATAAATGGACGAATGAATACGATCCACATATTTCATTAATATATGCTGAAAAAAAAGATTGTAATGATGAAGAATTAATTAATCAAATTGATCTTTCAACATTAATTAATAAAACATGGCAAGGTGGAAAAATTCAATTAGTCGATACAAGTGGAAAACTATCTGAATGGAAAACAGTCTTAGAATTAGATATTTCAAAATAGTTTATCACGATAGATTCTTATAAATAGTTCATCGATTTGTTCGATTTATTCCAAATAAGACAAATTACAAAATAAATAGCTTGACTATAATAAAAGAAATACAAATAAAAAATTCATTTGTTAAAAAAATTGCTGGATTAATTTGTGCTTTGTTGAACAGCAGCAAAAGCAGTTTTGAGTACCACTTTACTAAAATAAAAGACTATAGTATCTAATGAGTATTCATTCAAGTACACTTACATTGTTCCATCTGACTTTTCATCAAACATTTTATAAGCTTCGGCAGCTGAAAAAAGTTTTAATTTATTAATGAAAAAAATTTGAATATATCAAACTAACCTCGTGATAATTCCATTGTATGCGTAACAATAAATGTTGGATCAACTTCCTAAAATATCGACAATAATTAGTTTTTTAATCAATATAAAAGCAGAAAAGAATAATAAATTTACCCCATTTTCAATAATTTTAAGAAGATCATGCCAATAACTTTGACAATAGAGTTGTCCACCTCGCATTGTTACAGCTGAAAATATTCAAATTTTTATAAACTTCATATAAAAATTATTACACTTACCTTTTTCCATAAAAGTGCCTAAAGATAAACAAAATAAAAAATTAATTTATAAACATTTAAATATAATAATTCTTACCAATTGGAAATTGATTAGATTTATAAAAGCTAGAAAGAAAACATATGCGATATTAAAAAGGAACAATATGGACTATGACTCACTAATCTCCAATGATAGCAACACTGCCTCCTTTTCGAACAACAACAATTGCTTCATCTAAGACTTCAGGTGAGTCCGTTTCGAGAAAGACAGCTCGTTGCATTTTATGAACCATGCCTATTAAGAAATGCATACATTGAAAATAATTCTTAATTTAAATTGAATTATTTATCGTATCTCACCTTTTGTATAACGAAAACCGACTGCATCAATACATACATCAGGACCACCTATTTAAAAAAAATAAATGAAGTGTTCTATTTATATAATGTGTGTAGTAAAAAAGTTTACCAGGTAATAATTTTTGCATAGTTTCAATAACATTATCTTTAGAAAAATCAATTGTTTCTGCACCTTGTGTTCGAGCTTTCGCCAAACGTTCTTCAATACAATCAATTGAGAAAATACGTTTTGCACCTCGATATTTAGCCCACATAACAGTTAATAAACCAACGGGACCAGCACCCCTATTTAATTCAATTATTTATTAGAAAATAATAAATCTGAAAACTCACCAAATAGCTACTGTTGTTCCCGGACCAACTCCACCTAAGACATTTGCATGCCATGCTATAATATTGATAATTCAATATTATATTATAATTTAAACAAAAAAAAAATAACTTACCAGTACAAACAATATCACTAAGAAATAAAACTTGTTCGTCAGTTAATCGATTATTTTCAATTTTCAATAAATTAACATCGGCAAATGGAACACGAACCCATTCAGCTTGACATCCATCATAACCACCTGTTAAATGAGAATAACCAAAAGCTCCACAAATTCTATGACCATACATTGTTTCCATAACCTTTGAATCATTTGTTATATCACATAATGAGAACAAACCAGTTTTACAATCTATACAAACGAATTAATATTCTAGGAAAAAAGCAAATTCAAATAACTTACATTCACATTGTCCACATGCAATCGGTGCACTGACAACAACTCGATCACCAACTTTAATATTTTTTACATTAGGACCAATACTCTCAACAATACCCATACCTTTTCAAACAAAAATTTAATTTATATAATAAAATATTTAAAAAAAAACTTACATTCATGACCAATAATATCTTTTGATAGCATACCTTTCATATCTCCATTATCTACAAAAAAGATTCAAATAGAAATCAATTTCTCAATTCATTTACTTACACATATGTAAATCACTTCCACAAATTGTTGATGATGTTACATGAATAATAGCATCTGAATCATCTGTTATTATTGGTTTAGGTCGTTGAGCAATTCGAACATCTTTTTTACCCTAAAAATTTTATTTGAATAATATTTTCAATTAGATTAAAACATACATGCCACTCGAGCACAGTTGACATCGAATTTGAATCATATTTTGGTGTAATAGTCGGTGGTTTAATTGGAGACTTTCGAACTTCATCTCGAACAGTTTCAATTGGATACGTTGTAAATGAAGACACTATACATATTCATTGTTTTATAAAAAATGAATAAGATATTTATTAAATAGATTACTTACTAACATGTTGATGCCCATATTTTTTGTCGACACATTTTGATTGATCAAATTCTACGAAATTGTTTGTACTCATCTTTATTATTTGTAATGAAATCTACAAATGATCGAAAATATAAACTTCTACTCGTTATATAATGAAAACACGCACATCATATTATTGAGTATAAATAAATCGATCTTAGACTGCTCGCCGTAGTGATAATGTAGCCTTGTAAATGGATGATATTAAAAATAGTATCATTTACGTTACTGTACTCTGTGACGGGAGAAAAATGAAAAAAGCTAATTCTTTTCTTTTTCTCTCAGTCAGATGAAAAGCCAACGAGGACAAACCTCATTACTTGCACGTGTTTATTAACGTGACTTTAGTTACGTACAAATTATCGTCGGAATAAAAATATCAGTACAGATAAATTGATTTCTAAGTAGTTATAAAAACCTGTCGAGTTTACAGGAAACTATCGCTAAAGGTAATAAAAGTTTGCAAATTAAATTTACGGATTAAACCAAACATAAACGAGTGAAATAAAGAACAATAAGTTTAAATACCAATATGAATATTGATATGACTTATAGCATGTGGAAACTTCACAGTAACATGAACGAATTTGTAAACTATAAAAAATTTGAATAGAAATAGATGACTCTGTATGTAGATATGTCTTCTGAATATAAATTGTATTGGTTGTATTTTTAAACCAATCATATATTGAAGTGTTGGATAATAATGATAAAAAAAAGAAGGATTGATGTATGCCTCATTTCATTTTATCCTTTACATTTTTTTTCTTTTTTTTTAAAAACAAAAACTTTAATATTATATTTAGAAAAACTAAGTATGCAATCAGCTATTGAAAAACTTCGTAAATATCGTGATGAAAATTATCGTGCACATGATGAAATAATTGAATTATGGACAAATGTTTTATCTAATCGAAATTTATCATCATTAGGTGATGAAAAATGGTTAATACTTGAACAAATATTCAAATCAGCTTTACATTGTTCAAAACAATCAATTGCACGTCAATGTCTTGATCAATTAGAAAAACAATTTAAA